CCGATCAGCTGTTTGAAAACATCGGAATGCGAAGATCGGTAAGTGAGACGATTAGCGATCATCGCAATGCAATGTTTTCCCTATTCAAACATCGCAATGTGATCGTTTTTTCAATCGCAAAATCCGCATCGCAGAGGCACCACTGTATTTCAAGGATAAAATGATGTCCATCTACAACGACTTGAGCTGTGTATTTTCTGCTTTGGAATGGGGTGGGCTTTGGAATCCCTTCCAGCTCTACAGTTCAATTACTTATATTGAATATTTTGATCGTGGTAGTCTACATAATTGTCCAGAGGCCTGATTGGCCCTGTGGTGTTGGGAAAATCTTTATTGCTGGGCCAAATTTAGTTGTTTTTGGCGATGTCCATCTACAACGACTTGAGCTGTGTATTTTCTGCTTTGGAATGGGGTGGGCTTTGGAATCCCTTCCAGCTCTACAGTTCAATTACTTATATTGAATATTTTGATCGTGGTAGTCTACATAATTGTCCAGAGGCCTGATTGGCCCTGTGGTGTTGGGAAAATCTTTATTGCTGGGCCAAATTTAGTTGTTTTTGGCAAGGGACACAAGCAAGTTAGTTAGACATGCCATTTTGTGTGTATCTGTCACTTGTCCCATTGGGCTTCTCAGTTCACGAGATGGATCCAGGAAGAGATAAATGCCTTCTTGAGAGGCAGGTAGCTTCATTTGTTGAAAAAGAGGCAGTAGTTTGTCAACCTCTGAAGAAGTGAACTGGTGAATTTTAGAACCTGAAAATCTTAGTAATTATCGGTTGCTTGCTAACACACCTCCTTCCTATCTTTAAGTAATGCCATACCATACAGGCATTCTTGAATCTCAGTCATTCTGAACTTTGTTCCAGATCTCATTTGGTGCTCACACTCTTTTGGTTCCAGTGACGGAAAATGAAAGAATGTACTTTTGATCTTGCTTTGTGTATATCTGCTTAGCTTCAGAAGGAAAACTAGCTTTAGAGACATTTTGTACAAACTGTAAAAAATGCAACACAAAGAAAACATATCATTTGTTTTCTTGGTTATGATCTTGAGATTAGATTTTTTTAATGAGTTTAGAGCAGGGGTTCCCAGCCTTGGGTGACCCAGGTATTCTTGAACTACAAAAGTCTTCACCACTCGAATTTCTGGGGCTTGTAGTCCAAGCACACCTGGGCTGACCTGTTGTGACCCAAATCAACACACATACATTGATACATATGGCAAAGTGCATGTGTGCACATGCTCACATGCACACACGCACGCACGCACACACACACACACGTGCACATACACACGCAACACGCACGCACGCACACACACAAACACACACACTTATATTTCTCCAGTGGAAGAAACAGTAGCTCAAAAAACAGAAATATACAGTGGTGCCTCGCTTAACGGCAATAATCCATTCCAGGAAAATCGTTGTTAAGCGAAAACATCGTAAAGTGAAAATAAAAAGCCCATTGAAACGCATTGAAAACCGTTCAATGCGTTCCAATGGGCTAAAAACTCACCGTCCAGCAAAGATCCTCCATACGGCGGCCATTTTCGGTGCCTGTATAGCGAGGAATCTGTCCCTAAACACAGCGGGGAGCCATTTTAATCACCCAGTGGCCATTTTGAAAACCCAACGATCAGCTGTAAAGATCCTCATAATGCGAAGAATCAGTTCCCGAAGCAGGGAACCAATCATCGCAAAGCGAAATTCCCCCATGTAGACCATAGTTTTGCGATCACAAAAGCGATTGAAAAACGTCATCGTGAAGCAGATGCATTGTAATGCGGTTTAATCATAAAGTGGTGCACAACTGTATATTGTTAGCAAACATTGGGAGGAAGGGGTAGGAAATTTTCTCTTGTGATTCCTGTCTCATTCCAATTTGAGCCCATCGTCCTGGCTGCTTTCATCTAAAAACAGAAGTATTGGAAGATGACCCATGATCTCCCAGGACTTGTGTAGTTTAACTGTGTACTTCTAAGCCTAAATTATGGCATCTATTGTTATCAACTGTTCTAATCCATACATCCTCAAACAATGCTTTGAAATATAAGCCACACAAAGTGAAAGATTAGCATTATGGA